TCCAAAGACGTACACACGTGAAGAGTAGTCGAAGTTGAATAACCACTCAGGGTCGGCTGCTAAACCTACATAGGTAGGCAGAGGGCGGGGAAATTCGATTCCACCAGTCCCATGCCTCTTCACTCCTGCTCATGGGCGTCCGCAAGACCCATATTGGTAAGTTCCTCTAATGTTTTTCTTCGAATTTTTGCGAACTCATGGAGTATACATTATTACTCAATTGTTACTCGCCCTCAAAGGGGCCGAAGTCCTTATCTTCATCAGGCCGCCGAAGCCGGAGCGGCATTGGGTCACGCTACGAACATAGCCGATCATCCCCGCCCTTCGTGGAGTTTTAGACAAGTCATCTATCATTGACATCTCTCCTGATCAAAACATAATCCAGGTGACAATAGTACTTAACCTAAAATTAACCAGACTTTCGTTCGATTGTGACATGGCCCGAACAGAAGCTGATGTTGGTGTTGTTGGCGCGGGAGTAATGGGCTTGGCTGCCTCATTACTTCTCGTCGAGGCCGGATACAGAGTGACTGTTGTTGCGCAGCACCTTGCGGGGGACTTAACACCCGACTGGACAAGCCCTTGGTAAATATCAAGGAATCATTCGTCTAAATGCCTCTGCTAATCGTAGTACCTGTAGGGCCGGGGCTTTGCTGGCACCTCACCCAGACGCCGGGTTTCCAGATCTGCAGGAAAATTCATTGAAGAGATGGCATAGGCTAAGACATGAATGTCGAGATGCGGGCGTTGAGGTAAGGCTTCCTGCCACTCTTCATCCAAAAAGCTCACCTTCCATGGACGTGTCGTATTAAGAGCTGTAGGAACGCGATATTTATGAGTATTACGATAACCGAAAGGATCTATCATCCATCTGGTACAAGCGAATCTACCCGGATCTCACTGCTATTCCCACAGAAGATCTTGTTTCTGGAGCGGAAATCGGGTTCAAGTACCGCGGCCTAATTGTCGATCCTAATGCTTTCTTACCCTGGATAACGAGGTTACTAAAAGAGAAGGGCGTTAAATTTATCCAGCGACGGATTTCTAGCCTGGATGAGTTGAAGAGCATTACCGGTGCAGCCACTTTGGTCAACGCGTCTGGCCTGGGCGCCCGAGAGCTCGCGAATGATGAGAAAGTTCACGCCGTTCGAGGGCAGACCATGTTTGTCCCGTGTGATAGCCGAAACATGGACAGAGTGACCATTCATCAAGGTTCACATTACACTTATGCGATTCCACGCATCGCTAGTGGGGGTGTTATCCTCGGGGGTGTGGCTCAGCCTGATAATTATAGTCGAGACATTGACCCAGCAACGCGAGATGATATTATGCGCCGCGTCAATGAATTAACCAAGGGCAAGTTTTTTTGGGTAGATCATAAAGGAGCCATTGTCAAAGATCTTGTTGGTTTCCGCCCTGCGAGAACTGGAGGCATCCGCGTTGAAAGGGAGGATCGAGTCATCCACGCCTATGGTTTGGGAGCTCTGGGCTATGTGTTCGCATTTGGCGCCGCGGAGAAAGTCGTCTCCCTTGTCCAAGAAGTGAACCGGGCAAAGCTTTGAATGTGGACAAAGTAAAATGTGCTGATAGCAGATGGAGGCTCGCACGTTTGATTGATGAGTAGGCGATTGGTTATCTGCTGACAAAATTGATCATTGATGATGCGCCTTGATTGTGGAATGCTCTACCCTTTTCCTCCCAACATTGGGACCGATAATCTCGATTTGCCTAACAATAAATTGTCCGGACTTGTCAATTGTGTACACGAATCCCAGTACAGTGAGCTATCGAGACGCGATTCCCGAAGAACCGTCAACTTGTACCCAGCCATCCAGGTATAGCTTTCCAGCAGAATTCATAGAATCTCCCGTTTCATAACTCGGATTACGGAACCACCGAGTTCTTGAGAAGCGAAATGATATCTCCTCTGTTTGGTATTTTGTCGGAGAAGAGTCCGACGTCGGACTATTCGCCGGTCGTATGCCGCCGTGAGAGTGATACCGTAGATATCATCACCGAACTAGGTATGCAAAAGGTATCTCATATCGAAAGGCATCCATGTATCAGTGGGGCCGCGTTATCTTGACTTGTTTACCCCGCCTGGAGGTCTTGCTCACTGGCCTATAAAATGTCGAGTTGTTGTACCGTGTGTGGTCATGGCCGAATAGATAGCCAGCCCACATGCCATAGCTCGTTTATCCCCGTTAGTGACGTTGCAGTCGTCGGGGGTTCCCCGAGCCGATGCGTTTATCCAGATACTATCCAGCCTTAGATACCTAATGGGATGAATACTAGTTGAAGTCATGGGTTAGAGCTTATAAATCTTATAAATATTATGTCTAATCTTGGTGGACCTTAACGGCTTGGAAAGTTCCAATCATCCGCTGTGTTCATCTTCACTAACACAAAAATAGGGCGTATTTCTCTTAATTTGACCATCAACTTCTTGTGGTTCTAGGCATCCATCCTAATATTACCCAACTCGCATCTCACGCCTCTCCCAATGTGCAGCTGTCAGCGTAGACATTCTACCCCGCGGGAACACCGCAGGCTTCTGTTAGACCCGGACAAGGGGGAGGCTTATCACCAATGCAACCTGGTCCCAGTTTTCTGCTTCTGGGGATGTCTGTCCTCGTGCCAAGTTGTGTCGGGGTAAAGATCGACTGAGATGTGAAAAAGGTTCTTGATTGGTTAAGCCTAAGAAGCATAAGGGTAGAACTCTCCCCCGTATCTCATTATGAGCCCATGCCGTACTTGTTCTACGAACTCCGCACTTGTGAAAGAGCGGAAAACAAACCCGTCCTCCTATATGCTTTCGTTCTGGTAGATTTTTCAGAATTCTTGTTTCATCAAGATAATCAATAATCGATACGGCGAGCCTCTCTATCCCTTCTCCTACCGACAGGAGCAATGAATGATAAAGAAGACGTCAAGGGCGAAGGCCCGGGTAATGCCAACAGTGTCGATGCTGCTCTTCAATTTGTCCAGAATGGAGAGGTGATTTCCATGACACCGGAGCAAGAGAAAAAACTTGTACGGAAGATTGACTTGATGCTCATTCCGCTCATGTGTTTGTACTGCCTCGCTGTAATATCGCCACACACTCGCTAACTGGAGTCATGCAGTTGCGTGCTACTTCTTGCAATACCTAGACAAAATTTTGCGTAAGCATCTGAAGGTCTGATGGACTACGGTCGTCATTAATAACATATCTAGTTAATTACGCAAATGTGATGGGGTTCCAAAAGGACACGAAAATCACTGGAGATCAGTTCTCCGAACTTGCTATGATGTTCTACATCACGTACCTCGCTTTCGAGTTCCCAACAGGCTACCTCATGCAGCGATTTCCCACTGCCAAGTATCTTGGTGTCAATGTGGTTCTTTGGGGTGTCGTTGTCGCATCCAACGCCGGCGCACACAATTGGCCTGGCCTCGTGGTATTGCGCCTCCTTCTGGGTTGCTTCGAAGCAACTGTCGCCCCTGCACTCATGCTCATCACCACCATGTGGTACAAGAAGTCAGAGCAACCTCCCCGCGTGGGGCTCTGGTATGTCGGTACCGGGCTGGGTAAGGCGATTGGAGGGCTCAGCTCATTCGCGTTTCAACATTATACCAAACAGGACTTTAAATCATGGCAACTCATGTTCTTACTCTGGGGCATTGCTACCGTAACCGTTGGTATCTTGGTTCTTCTATTCGTTCCGGATAATCCTATGAAATCCAAGCTGTCTGAGGAAGAGAAGACCTGGGCAATCGAGAGGCTACGAAGCAATCTCACAGGTGTTGAGAACAAGCATTTCAAAGTGCACCAAGCTCTTGAATGCCTAAAAGATCCTCAGACTTGGATGCTGAGCATCAGTGTTCTTTCACAGAATATTCCAAACGGATTTGTGTCTAGCTATCAGGCAACAGTCATTCAAAGTTTTGGATTTACTTCTAAACAAACTGCTTTGCTGTCCATGCCATCTGGCGCTGTATCGAGTATATGCACGTTGGGCGGAACTTGGTTCGCGGGACGATACAATCTTCGAGGACCAGTCTCGATATTTCTTCTAAGTCTCGGCTTTCTAGGGAGCTCTCTGATGGCATTCCTTCCCGACAATCTCACAGCCGGAAAGATGGTTGGAAATTACATGTGCAACGCGATCGGTTCATCCTTGCCGCTCATGTATTCTTACGCAGGCGCCAACTTTGCCGGTCATACCAAGAAGGTCACGATAAATGCCATTGTCTTGATAATGTTTTGTGAGTATATTGCGTAAAATGATCATTGAAACTGCTTAATATACTGATATTCAATCAACTGTAGGCATCGGAAATATTATTGGGCCACTAACCTTCCGCGACCAAGACAAGCCAGAATATATTCCTGCCAAAATCGCCATGGCTGTTACAACCGCAGTAGCAGCTTTGGTGACAGGAGGGCTCATGGTTTATTATTCATTCGAGAACCGACGCCGTGATAGGATCTACGCTGGCGAGGAGCATCGGGAAAACAGCGAGTTTTTTGACCTGACAGACCGCGAGAACCATGAATTCCGGGTGAGTAAATAATTAATTCATAGCAAATTTATCCCCGCAACCTCGTTAACAAAAAATTAGTACTCATTTTGAAGATATCTCGGATTTCAAATGGTACCTACCATATGTTTAAGAGAGAAAATTTAGTAAATACGACACTCGTCTTGTTTTCTTTCTCTTCCTGGAGGGTGCAAGATCGCCAATGTAGTCAAACAGCCCACGACTGCCATCAATTTTCAAACAAGCAAAGCAACAGAGTTATTTCATCACTTCAATTTCCCTGGGCTTACAAATAGAAGCAGATTATTCTTTGAAAGTTCCTAACATTTCTAGTTTCATCTACAAGAGAACGCTTCAATGCTCAAAAGAGCTATATTTCACTTCAGCAAGTACAAAGTATTTTTAGAGCCATAGAAACAATTCATATTATGAACTTGATTTTGTGTCTATATATATATTTTGTTATTCGAAGATACTTATAAACTAGGCTGATTCGGGTCTGTAACTCCTCGCATAAGAACATCAAAGAAAGCAGTATCGAAACCTTGAAACACCCAATCATCCAAAGGCGCGGCAGCATCCGGAAACATCTGATCTTCCTGTGTAGGCATCTGCCCTGGGATCATCTCCGTATCAAACGTAGTAGATGGCTGAGCGGACAATTCTGCACAATTGGATACTGGTAGCCGGGACGCCGAATTTAGGCTGCCATCAATGCCATTCTGGCTGGGTAATGTTGAGTTGCTGAGATGGACAGATCCAATACCGCCAAGTGTGACGGGTTCGCGGACGATATTGTCCCGCGATACTCTTTGGAAGGGGGCGACAGATATATTCCCCCTACGCGCAATTTTGATAGAGCCGATATAGGGCACACATATTTCAAGCACTTGGCAGCCGTTTTGATTCTCGCCGTCACCGCTGCCTGCTTGTAGAGTTTGCGCATGATAGCTGCCTCCCTGTGCAGCGTCTGCTTCAACCGCCAGCAGGTCTTTCAGTAGAGTACTGCATTTTGCAGAGAGCACATCGTTGCGCAGCTCAGACATCGACTCCATACACTCGAGTGCTTGTTCCACGATGGCTCGGTCGCTTTGCCGTTGATGTATCAGGACATTGGCCAATTCTTCGTGACAATGACTGAAGATGTGTGCCAGTACCAGTGTCAAGCCTGCGATCAGCGCCAGGAAGTCCCCCATCCTCAAACAAGCGCTGATGGGATTGAAGTTGCGAATGGCAATTTGTCGAATCAGAATCTCGCGGCTCGCGTTGACGCAGGCGATTTTGGAACAGGTACTCTCGAAGGAAGTGTTCGGACACAGCATATGTGGTAAATGAAGCTGGTTCAACAAAGTGTAATATCGCATATGCTCCAGGATCCGTTTGGTTTCAGCGAAGGCGTCTGGGGAATTGACCTTCATGCCGTCATAGGCGGGCGGTCGCCAGAATTTAAGCGGCATGATCTCGGCTACCCTGATCAACTCTTTGTTTATTCCTCTGGTTAATTCGGCGGATTTCTCAAAGGTGTTGACCTGATTTCTTTCAAGAACTTGTGCTATCAAGTCCGTCAAAGTTGGAGGAAACTCGAGGCCTTTTGTTGAGATGCTGCTTGTATCCTGGTAGGCGGAGCCCATACCAAGGGTACATGAAGGGAGACCGAGCAAAAGGGATAAAAGACGCTCCATCCACACGATACAGTCCCATATTGCCTGAGGATCAAGGTTGCTCCCGCTTTTGAGCAGCTTGAACCGATGATGGCCAGGAAGATGGATACCCAGCAGCTGTGCTACTGTCACAGCACGGCGCAGCGTTACCCAAGATCTTCTTATGTTGCCGCGGTCGACGTGATACATTCCTTCAAACATGATGTTCTCAAGACCCTCCAGTGTGCCTAGTAGTGCGTCATTGGTGGTTACCAACTTGATTGCTGACTCCGCAAGTTCTTCCATAATTACATGCGGATGCTTGCTGAGGCCGGGTGGCACATCATTCGGCCACCGACTCTGTATTGCGAGAGAGAAAAGTAGCATTTGGCTTGCAAGCAAGACTGGGTGCTCTTCTGGGTAGAGGAGATTGGGTAACGGGCCTTGCTCATCTAGAACCTCCTGTGAGCCCTCCTTATAGAATGATTGGTGGCAGAGTAAGGGGACCTTAGTGATCTTTCCCATGAGGATCTTGATGTCGTTTTCCGAGGGCAGAGCGCGGAGTAGCTCCTGAGTAATGCTTTCATGTGTGTTGGGATTTGTGGTTGACTGTAATTCGGACACTCTGCGGGGTTGTTTTGGCCACTCCCCCTGTCGGCCGTTGGCGATGGAATTCTGGGTTGTGCAAAATTAGTAAAAGAAGGTTCGCTTGAAATAAGGCGACTAGAACTTACCACGGAGCCGGCATGTTGAGAGAAAGCCGGCGTTGATGACTCTGAAATAGAAACAGAGGGCGTGCAAATGCCATGGGCATCTCGAATCACCGGCCCAGAAGCGCCTGAACTCTGGCCCGTAGGCGTATTATCATGGCTGTCTGCTGGCTCCTTGCCTTCAGTTTGGCGGCCTGACAAATTCGAGTCGTCCAAATCTCTTTGGCTAGCACATTTCGCACCCCGACGATGGCAGGTAATGCAAATGACATCTTGGGGTGATTCGAAGATGCATTTGACCTTTCTCCGTCGACACTCCCAGCAACTGTGCGTGCCCTTTCGGACCTTTCTTCGCTTAGATGAGTTTTCGTCCGGGGGTGAATACATGTCCGAGGTGGCGAGACAAATCGGACGAAGAAGGCTTCCCTAGACCGAACGCAGAGCCCCGAGTAGAAGGTCTCGCTCAATGACTGTTTGGCAGACAGGATGGAATTGCTTTTGGAATTTAGTGCTTCTGAGTTCGGAGTCCGGAGGACGATGTTATTATCAATGATTAGTGGAGGGATCTTCAACTTGAAATGCTGTTCGGCCGAATTTGAGTGGATTTGGGCTGACAAATCAGCCCAGGTGAGACTGAATTCGGCCGAATTTCCTCAAGTCTCCCCTTTCTTCTCCATCATACGATATGCAGAGTCACAGGAAGAGCATGGGAAGTCGACGAAGAAATTGTATGCTTTCTACTTGTAGTAGCTAAATATGGACTCTCGTAATGCTCACGGTGGCGAAAATCATTGTTTCTCCCCAAAACAGGGTAAAGAGTGAAGAAACCATGAGTTTCGCATGGGACTGACCGTCTGCGTAGTGGCTCGGACGAAAATGAGATAGTTGGAAAAAAGGATTTTCTCGGCCTAAATGTCCTTGAGCATCGAATTGCTCCATCATGCCGCTCTACCATATGGTTCGCTTCGGAGATTTGGTCGTTTGGGAGTAACGGTTTCGTCCGAAGCCGAATTCCAGATCTACTAAAGTACATATATAACCACACCACCTAAGTCTATGCCGAGATTTTCTATTGTTGAATTCGTCCGCATCAAGGATCTTGTCTTTCGAGCTTTTAGAATCCGCCAGATCAGATCATCAAAGGCCAGCTAATACGACTCGAAAATGGAACCGCAAAATCAAGACTCCTCGGCCAGCACCAAGACGGCGCCGTCACTGTCAAAAGAAGGCGTCGCAGATGTGGGAAGCGCTGAAGTGGCAGCTGATTCCTCGGATGAATATCCTACCGGCTCCCGTTTAGCTACGATCGTGGTTTCTCTGATGCTTGCTATGTTTCTGGTCGCACTTGACAATGTATGTCCATGCCTCACTTATGTCGCACCCTGAAACTGACCAAACTACTCCCAGACCATTCTCGGCACCGCTATACCTAAGATCACAGACGAGTTTCACGATTTGAACAAAGTATCGTGGTATGGATCTGCATACCTCATGACGTTTGGTGGTGGTTCGTTCCAACAGTTCTCGATTGTACGCTGAGTGTTAGCTGATAATCCGTCGAACAGAGTACCTCTATTGTACCAACCCTCCATCGATTTATCGACACTTGCCTCTCCAACCAATTCCGTACTCGAAACTAAATTATGTGTCTAGGTGTTCAATCGACGTGGGGAAAGGTCTACAAATACTTCTCAATCAAGATTTGGTTTCTCGCTGCGCTGCTCACCTTCGAGGTAGGAAGCCTCGTTTGTGCTGTCGCCCAAAATCCTACAACTTTGATTGTTGGCCGAGCCATTGCAGGATTTGGCGGTGCCGGCGTAGCTGTCGGAATATTCACCATCCTTGGATTTGCCGCACCTCCTGAGAAGCGTCCCCAACTCCTGGGATATACAGGAGCTACCTACGGCATAGCTGCGGTTCTGGGACCCCTGATTGGCGGTGCTTTTACTGACAGAGTATCTTGGCGATGGGTAGGAGTAAATTCCTGTCTTCTTTGATGTCTGACTTTCTGACTATGATGCAGTGCTTTTACATTAACCTGCCGATCGGAGGACTTGCGGGTGCAATTATTCTCTTCTTTTTGAAACCACCAACTAGCGCGGCACCTGTCCAAGCATCACTGAAAGAAAAGTTCCTCCAAATGGATCTTCTTGGTGCAGCTATGATGATGGGCCTGATCATCTCATATATTTTGGCCCTACAGTATGGCGGCCAAACTCATGCTTGGAATAGTAGCCTTGTTATCGGGCTGCTTGTTGGTTTTGTCGCCATTTTCTTCTCCTTTATTGCATGGGAGCTCTATCAGAAGGAATACGGCATGATAGTTCCACGCCTGGTGAGTTAACTACCTCAGAACGTTCTTCAATCCCATCGTTGGCTGACTCTGGTTATACGCACAGTTCGCCAAACGATATGTCTGGACCGGCTCCGTCTTCATGTTCTTCTTCGGCGGCGCATACTTTACCCTGCTTTATTACCTCCCGATATATTTTCAAAGTGTCTACAACAACAGTGCCATTGGCTCTGGAGTCAAGATGCTCGCCATGATCCTTCCACTGACATTCGGAGCCATCATCCAAGGCGTGGTCATGTCCAAAGTCCGCATCGTGCCGTTGATTTGGATATTCGGTGGTGCGCTGGGGACGATCGCATGCGGCCTATTCTATACGATGGATAGCCACACGTCTACCGGCAAATGGGTAGGTTATCAGATCATCGCTGGATTTGTGTGTGGCTTGATATTCCAGGTGGCCCTTTCCAACGCTCAAGTCCATGCTCCGCCTGAGGACATGTCGCAGACTACAGCTATTGTTAATTGTAAGTCCCAGCCCCCTGCCTTCTGTGACCCTCCGTATTGACATCTCGGGGCAGTCTTCGTGACCATCGGCGGAGCCTTCTTTCTCTCGGCAGCACAGTCGGCGTTCAATAATCGGTTGCTCGGGGAACTCGCAATCAAGCTTCCTGATTTTAACGCAGAGACAGTTCTTAGCACGGGGGCAACCCAAATCCGAACTGCCTTTACGGAAGCGCAGGTACCTATTGTCATTGACTCGTACATGGTTGGATTGAAGGCCGTGTTTGCGATTACAGCCGGCGGCTTCGGAATATCCACCTTGCTTGGCTTCCTTGGAAGCTGGAAGAAGCTTCACGGTGATGACCTACAGAAGGCTTCGGGCGGTGCAGCATAGGCCTGCGAGGCAAATCACATACGAAGGGAGCATGTCCCTTGCAGACCGAATCTTTCTACACATGCACCCATACCAAGCTTACTGCCAGGTGGAGAGAGGGCAGTGGAATTGACACCTCATTTCAGGAGGATAGAATGATATAGACAATTAGAAGATTAGACCTAGCTTTCCCATATTTAATCATCCCATTACTTGTATTTAAATTGACTACATTGAACATTTGATCAAGGGACTGTCAAATCCAGCTTCGCGATTACCCAATCCTTCTGGAATACCGGTCTGCTGCCTGGGTCAGACATCATCAGGTGTGACCGCTATCTCACCTCGTAGGGCACAATTATACGGTGACGATCCTGGCTGTCAGCAAGCAATCTAATCCTACCATGTCACCCTCCAGGGGCCAAAAAGCATGGCAACTGCATGTCTGCTGGGGCATGTGCTCAGCTTGCCTCAGAACAGGTAATACCCCTACCAAACACCCATCTTGCCCGAATGAAATCCTTCGCTTGCAATCCTGCGCCGCCCCGCCGTCATTTCGCTCCACGTGGACCTACTGACCAACAAATTCTTGGCCTAGCCTGTTGATGACCTGGGTATTTATGGAATGATGTATGATTATCTGGTGAGCTGAAAAGCAACGAGGCTTGGCCACGTGTTGTGGAGTGTGCCCCTCGTAAAAGCCCAGGGTCTCCCAACAAGAGCGCTTCTGCATCTCTGCAGGCTTGGTCAATGGACCACACGTGCCTCACCATTCAAGATGTATGATATTTATGCCGACAAGCGGCCAACCATCATTGGTATCGGTTTCGGGACGTGGGCAGTCGCCATACTGGCGCTCCTTATGCGCATGGGCAGCCGCAAGGCGAGAGGCGTGAAACTCGGCCTAGACGACTGGTTAATCCTAGCAGCTGTTGTACGTTTACAAGGATATCAACTAACCGGTATCATTCTCATTAACAATGCTGATTAAACCTCTGCAACTAGCCCGGTTCAATCAGTCTTGTAGGTGCTATGGCTGGCTTTGGTAAGTGAGCTTTTGTTGACAAATTCGTTCTCCATCACAGCGCCTTTTTATTCCAGTCCCATTTTACATACAAATCTTAAGAAATTGTTAGGCTAACTCCCCTACAGCCGTAAACAAAGGATTTGGTAGGCATATCTGGCTTGGCAAACCAGATACTATTAGATCATGTGCTATTGCCCTCTTCATTGGGGAGCTCTCCTATGTCTGGACATTATTTCCCGTCAAGATGTCTATTCTAGCCTTCTACTGGCGGTCTTTTCGTGTCGAACGTTCTATCAGAATACCAATCTACATATTGGCGACTGTTATCACGCTCTGGGCAATGGGTGTGGTAAGTACATCACCAAAACACCATTCATAACTACCGGAAAGCTATAAAGCTAAGCGAGAAGAGCGGCATATCTTATTAATACATATCAAACCAGTTTCTTACTACTCTCCTCAAATGTCGCCCATTGCATTGGAACTGGGATCAATATCAATACTGGAGCCAATACAACTCCTGGAACATGACGACGAAAAACCAATACAAATGTGATGTGAACCAGATCAAGTTTTACTACGGAAATGCGATCCCCACCATAGTCACTGATCTCGCCATGGTGTTGCTCCCGATCCCATATGTCTGGAGACTAAAGATGCCAAAGCCCCAGAAAATTGCTCTGGCGGGTATTCTTATGATAGGCCTTTTGTGTGTCTACCTGTATCCCTAACGGTATCTACAACTTGAAGTTTACTGACAAATTTAGCGTAACGATAGTCTCCGTTGTGAGACTTTGGTCTCTTGTCCGCGTCAACTTGGAGGATCCCGACGTGACATGGAACGCAGTGGACGCGGCCCTATGGACGATCGTTGAAGTGAATATCTCAATTCTATGTGGTATGTGCTCGCCAATGCACGCCTTGGTGTTTTTACGTCAAACTAATACTTCTTTTATCAATAGCTTGCTTGCCCTTCGTCAAGCCAATTTTGACCAAAATTAGCAAAGCCCTTAAGCTCCCGAAGTTCTCCTTGCTCACCTCTCTTGGATCAATCACTCGCTCAAAGAAACACTACCAGTCTAATGAAGATTCTCACGACGGTAATTACAATCTTTCCATGCAAACGGACGAGCGGCCCATCACGTATATGGCCCATGACCATATTGCAGAGTATAAGCCAGAGCCAGCGTTCA